CTCCTGGTGTAGCTACTTAAGTATAAAGAAGGGGTTGGCCCTGGAAAGGTTTTTTTGTCTGTGGTTGGGGCGGGGGCGGACATTTCAGAGCCAGGCCAATCTAGGCAGGTTGTGTTCACCAAGCCTGTGTCTTTGTGCCCAGCACAGTTTGCAATGATTTGCGTAGTTCGCTTAACGATATTCTCGAGGTAGATAGGGTATCCTCCTTTTACAGAGGAGGAAATTAAAGCTTGGTGATTGGTGATTTTTGGCCAAGGTCACGACTTCAGGAAGTCTGTTTGGATTTAGATTCTTTGTACCAACGCTTACAAAGCCTGTGTAATAACAAGTGTGTGTTTCATGCTTTTGCATTAAAACAATGAGGATTTCTACTCTTTTAGTTATTTTCTGAGACGGAGTCTCACTGTGACGCCCAGGCTGGAGTGGAATGGTGTGATCTTGGATCATTGCAACCTCTGCTTCCCGAGTTCAAGTGATTCTCCTGCCTCAGCCTCCCGAGTAGCTGGGACTGCAGGGGCCCGCCACGACGCTCAGCTGATTTTTGTGTTTTTAGTAGAGACAGGGTTTCACTCTATTCGCCAGGATGGTCTCGAACTCCTGACCTCAAGTGATCTGCCCGCCTAGGCCTCTCAAAATGCTGGGATTACAGGCGTGAGCCCCCGCGCCCGGCCAGGATTTCTGCTCTGGAGGAAGCTGAGGTTTGGTGTCTGAGCAGTTCACCCGGGAAAGCAGAGTGACTATAGCAGAGCTAGCGTGGACTTTTGACTACCTAACCTCATCCCACCTGAAATTCGGTTTTCTTCCAAATTAAATTCGTGGTAGGAAGACCCTGTACCTTAGAAGAGAATTAGATTGTGTTATCCTACAATTGATTGGCCACGGTGGCTCAAGCCTGTAACCCCAGCATTTTGGAAGGCTGAGGCAGGCGGATCACTTGAGCCAGGAGTACAAGAGCAGCCTAGGCAACATAACAAAACCCTGACTCAACAAAAATACAAAAATTTGCTGCGTGTGGTGGTGTGTGCCTGTAGTCCCAGCTACTCATGAGGCCCAGGTAGGAGGATGGCTTGATCCTGGGAGGTCGACAGCCTGTGCAACAGCAAGACCCTGTCTCAAAAACAAATCCTACAGTTTATTAGCTTCAAGGTCTTGTAACTGGATAGTCAGGGGGCAGAGCCTTGCTGGTCTTCATTCAAATCCTGTTGCTTTGCAAAATGCAATCTGAGTGTAAAATCATACTCATAGAAGAAGTGAGATAGGGGGTTCAGGCCCCTTACACTGTTCGCTCACTGATCCTGAGGCAGCCTTGCTTTCTCAGCCCGTTCCCTCATTTGTAGAGTGGGGCTCTAGTGCATAGTTCCCAGCTCAGATGGCTGGGTGCAAGGCACCTTGTTGGCTGGGCAAAAGAAGGGAATGCTTGCTTGTGAGGACAATCACAGAAAGATTGTCCTTGTCTCTGAGCCCTCTTGCCCTTGTCTCCCACAGGTCCTGGTGCTCGATGGTCGAGGCCATCTCCTGGGCCGCCTGGCGGCCATCGTGGCTAAACAGGTACTGCTGGGTAAGTCGCTGCTCGCGGCCCCCCCCTTGTCATGGGCCCCCGCTGGCGGTCGGTGATGAGCAACATTCACCATCTTTCGTTTGAGTCTCACGGCCATGAGATCAACCCCATGCACCGCTCTGAGACCTGCCAGCCACTATTCCCCAGGGTTGGGGACTCCAGGCTCAAGAAGTGGTTTTCTATTAGGCTAGCTTTTCATTTAAACACGAACTTAGCTCTGGCGAGTACTGCGCTGTGTCTGGAGGGTAACTGCACAGGCGGTGGGAGAACCCTCAGGTGGCTCGGCCCTTCCTAACCCTTTCCCTCCTTGTAGGCCGGAAGGTGGTGGTCGTACGCTGCGAAGGCATCAACATTTCTGGCAATTTCTACAGAAACAAGTGTAAGTTAGGGCCTGGGAGGAGCACTGGAGAGGAGCACTGGAGAGGGTCTCCCAATGGGGTGTTGAGACTCTGAAAGCAATTCCAGTCGTGTTGGGAGAGACTGCTTGGGGTTCCTGAGAAGGCCCTTGGAAGTGGGGTTTTGGGGGTGCTGGTAGACCGGGCGGGCCTCACACTCTCCCCTCTCCCTAGTGAAGTACCTAGCTTTCCTCCGCAAGCGGATGAACACCAACCCTTCCCGAGGCCCCTACCACTTCCGGGCCCCCAGCCGCATCTTCTGGCGGACCGTGCGAGGTGAGCGGGGCGTGGGGACTGCAGGTGGTGACGAGCAGGCGGCCGGTGATGAGAACTTCTCCCACTCACATTCGAGTTTCTCGACCATGAGATGACTCCACATGCACTACCATCTGAGGCCACCCGTGGGCCCACCTCAGCGGGGAGGGTGGCTGTCCTTATGAGCCCCTCTGACCGGGCCTGCTGTCCGTCACCCAACAGGCATGCTGCCTCACAAGACCAAGCGAGGCCAGGCTGCCCTGGACCGCCTCAAGGTGTTTGACGGCATCCCACCGCCCTACGACAAGGTGAGCTGTGCCAGCTTCCCCACAAGGCAGCAGCCTTGCCTGTGGCGTCTGTGATGTTCCGCAATTACCTACATTGTTTGATCCTCATGAAAGCAGCACTGGCTGAGACGCCTGCCCAGCCAACCCCCTTCCCTCTCTGTCCCTCCAGGGCTCTGAGCCCTTCTCTTTCTTTAACAGAAAAAGCGGATGGT